GCAGCAAATTTATGAAATTCCTATCCTTCCTTAGTGAATTTGTAAACAAATTTTCAAATTTATTTTTTAAACCTTTTTGAATTTTAGCATAAATTTACTAAATTCTTTTTAGCTCTAGACAACATACTCTATTAACATGTCTTTATATGCAAACATAATAATATAAAATATTATATTGTTTTCTTGCCAATAACCAATGACTACTGCTGCTATTGGTTGTAGTATTTTATTTAAGATTCTCGCTTCTGACCATGTTAAACCTACAAATAATCCAAGTCACTATAATGTCTGGCAGTTATAGTGCTGACAAATTTATATTTTATTGGCTTGACCGTGTGCAGGAAGACCACTGCTAAAGAAAGCAAATAAACCGACAATCTAATTCAAACAAAGACCGCCATGCAAGGCACATTAACAACGCCACCACAGTCAATAAGAGCACATAGAAATATGCTGAATCTTCGGCGTAAGGAAAATAATAATATTAAAAGATCAATAATTTTTTCTTACAGGAAACAGTGGTGCAGGCAATCTAAAGACCGGATTTTATACAATATACATTATGGACTAAAGACCATCTATACACTAAACCATAGACTATCTATAGGCTGAACTAAAAACCATATATCAGTACATAATCTTGGACTATATCTACAGTCTGGACTATAGACTATCTATAGTCTGGAATATAGACTATCTATAGTCTGGCCTATAGAATATCCATTGTCTGGACTATAGATTACTTTTAGTCTGGACTATAGACTCTCTATAGTCTAGATTATAGACTATCTATAGTCTGCACTATGGAAAACACAATCTATAGTCCTCACTATAGATAATCTATAGTCCGGACTATAAACTAGACTATAGACTAGACTATAGACTTGACTATAGACTGGACTATAGACTAGACTATAGACTATAGACTAGACTATGGACTAGACTATAGACTAGACTATAGACTAGACTATAGACTAGACTATAGACTAGACTATACACTAGACTATAGACTAGACTATAGACTAGGCTATAGATTAGACTACAGACTAGACTGTAGCCTATACTATAGACTAGACTATAGACTAGACTATAGAATAGACTATAGACTAGACTATAGACTAGACTATAGACTAGACTATAGACTAGACTATAGACTAGACTATAGACTAGACTATAGACTAGACTATAGACTAGACTATAGACTAGACTATAGACTAGACTATAGACTAGACTATAGACTAGACTATAGACTAGACTATACACCAGACTATAGACTAGACTATAGACTAGACTATAGACTAGACTATAGACTAGACTATAGACTAGACTATAGACTAGACTATAGACTAGACTATAGACTAGATTATAGACTTATAGTCTATTCTATGGACTATAGACTAGACTATAGACTAGACTATAGACTAGACTATAGACTAGACTATAGACTAGACTATAGACTAGACTATAGACTAGACTATAGACTAGACTATAGACTAGACTATAGACTAGACTATAGACTAGACTATAGACTAGACTAAAGACTAGACTATAGACTAGACTATAGACTAGACTATGACTAGACTATAGACTAGACTATAGACTAGACTATAGACTAGACTATAGACTAGACTATAGACTAGACTATAGACTAGACTATAGACTAGACTATAGACTAGACTATAGACTAGACTATAGACTAGACTATAGACTAGAGTATAGACTTATAGTACTAGTCTATGACTATAGACTAGACTATAGACTAGACTATAGACTAGACTATAGACTAGACTAATAGACTAGACTATAGACTAGACTATAGACTAGACTATAGACTAGACTAAAGACTAGACTATAGACTAGACTATAGACTAGACTATAGACTAGACTATAGACTAGACTATAGACTAGACTAGACTATAGACTAGACTATAGACTAGACTATAGACTAGACTATAGACTAGACTATAGACTAGACTAAAGACTAGACTATAGACTAGACTATAGACTAGACTATAGACTAGACTATAGACTAGACTATATACTAGACTATAGACTAGACTATAGACTAGACTATAGACTAGACTATAGACTAGACTATAGACTAGACTATAGACTAGACTATAGACTAGACTATAGACTAGACTATAGACTAGACTATAGACTAGACTATAGACTAGACTATAGACTAGACTATAGACTAGACTATAGACTAGACTATAGACTAGACTATAGACTAGACTATAGACTAGACTATAGACTAGACTATAGACTAGACTATAGACTAGACTATAGACTAGACTATAGACTAGACTATAGACTAGACTATAGACTAGACTATAGACTAGACTATAGACTAGACTATAGACTAGACTATAGACTAGACTATAGACTAGACTATAGACTAGACTATAGACTAGACTATAGACTAGACTATAGACTAGACTAGACTAGACTATAGACTAGACTATAGACTAGACTATAGACTAGACTATAGACTAGACTATAGACTAGACTATAGACTAGACTATAGACTAGACTATAGATTAGACTATAGACTAGAATATAGACTAGACTATAGACTAGACTATAGACTAGACTATAGACTAGACTATAGACTAGACTATAGACTAGACTATAGACTAGACTATAGACTAGACTATAGACTAGACTATAGACTAGACTATAGACTAGACTATAGACTAGACTATAGACTAGACTATAGACTAGACTATAGACTAGACTATAGACTAGACTATAGACTAGACTATAGACTAGACTATAGACTAGACTATAGACTAGACTATAGACTAGACTATAGACTAGACTATAGACTAGACTATAGACTAGACTATAGACTAGACTATAGACTAGACTATAGACTAGACTATAGACTAGACTATAGACTAGACTATAGACTAGACTATAGACTGACTATAGACTAGACTATAGACTAGACTATAGACTAGGCTATAGACTAGGCTATAGACTAGACTATAGACTAGACTATAGACTAGACTATAGACTAGACTATAGACTAGACTATAGACTAGGCTATAGACTAGGCTATAGACTAGACTATAGACTAGACTATAGACTAGACTATAGACTAGACTATAGACTAGACTATAGACTAGACTATAGACTAGACTATAGACTAGACTATAGACTAGACTATAGACTAGACTATAGACTAGACTATAGACTAGACTATAGACTAGACTATAGACTAGACTATAGACTAGACTATAGACTAGACTATAGACTAGACTATAGACTAGACTATAGACTAGACTATAGACTAGACTATAGACTAGACTATAGACTAGACTATAGACTATACTATAGACTAGACTATAGACTAGACTATAGACTAGACTATAGACTAGACTATAGACTAGACTAGACTATAGATTAGACTATAGATTAGACAAAACACTAGACTTTAGTCTAGACTAGACTATAGACTAGACTTTAGACTAGACTTTAGACTAGACTATAGACTAGACTATAGACGAGAATATAGACTACAACATATGTAAGTTGAAACACTATAGACTAGACTAGATTATCGATTGAACTATAGACTAGACCAAAGACTATATTGTTGGCAACATATGTGGCTTACTTATCAAAAGTTTGTCTATATCAAAGAGTACGGATAAAAGTAAAGTACTTAATTTTCCATACCTGCTGTGAACCAGGGATGGCAAATGGAATTTTCAAATTGTACAAAACAGCATTTAAAATTGTACTTTTTTGAATCCGATTGTACCAAATCTATATTTTTGCAAATTTATATCAATATAAAACAAAAGCATTTCGAGCAAGTCCATTAGTCAATGTACTAGTCCATTGACTAGGCAAAAGGCTATTCTATAGACTAGAGGGTAGTCTATAAACAAAGACTGCACAGAAAAAACTAAAACTATGTTTCAATTATCAAAATAATTGTATCAAACAAGTTTTGCACCTATCACCAAAATGATGATATCAATTATCAAATTTGTAAAAAAATTTAAAAAATACTTTTTTTTTCCAAATAACGAATTAATCAGAACAATTAATATCAATAATTGAGACAAAATTTAAAATTGATTAATTCATTAATTGTATAAATTAAATATTTAATAAAAATATAATCTAATTTTTATTAATTTATTAATCAAATGAATTAGTTTGTTTGGTAAAAAATGTGTTAAAAACCAATTAAGTTGATTATTAAAACAATCAAATTATTAATTGATTACTCACAATGTTAAAGGAATGATTGACCTTTAACAATGCGTTGAGCATTTACAAAAAATATCACTTTATTATCAAATTTGAACATATAAAGTGTTTTATAAATTGTCAGAAAACTTGAATATTATATGCCTAAAATCGTATTGACTATTTAAGAATTATAAACATTGTTAGCATAAGAAATCAAAATAAAATATTAAAAAAAAACTAAAATAGAAAAGTTGGCCAGAAATTTTTTTCAATCAATTAAAAAAGTAATTGAATCAATTAAAAATTTTATCAAATTTGTAAAAAGGTTTAAACAACGAGATAATTAAGACAAATAAAAAATTGCTTAAATTAAAATTAAAGAAAGAGAAAAATAGGTTAATTGAAAATAAACTACTAATAATTTTTTCTGTGTGATTAACAGAATAGTCCCTAGAAATACTTTAAAAAGTTAAATGTACTTTAAAAACTATAGATTAGTCATTATATTAGTCAATAAATAAGACCATTTAGTCGACAGACTGGTTCTTAGTCAATAGACTAGACAGTCTTGAACTTTGTGTTAAAAGTACAATTTTAAATTATTATTTCAATAAGGGAATATACATATTTAAAATTGTACAAAATGGGTCACCGGAGTACCATTGTACTTTAAAAGATCGAATTGTACCAAAAAAAGTACAATTGTACCAATTTTGCCAACCCTGCTGTGAACTATAAAAACGGCCTTATATCAAATTTAAAAAAATAAAGTATATACAATTACTTACCTTAAAGTACACTGTAGAACCAGCCGTTAAACATTTCATAGTATTTTATTATAATTTTATTATTGTTTTAAACTTTTTTATTTTATTATACATATTTACAGTTCAACACTTTTTTATTATTTTATATTTTTTTGCAAATCTATTTTATATACAATTTAATTGTGATATTTATTAACACATTTAGTTGACACACTTTTTTCCATCTACAACAAAAACAACATTCACTCATAAAGAGATTTGTCTTAACTAGCATTTTGTTATTGCTTTTTATTTTATTATAATTCATACAAATGTGGCGTGACATTTGCTATGTTCTTTACTTGTCCACTTGTTGTTGCTTTTCTGAGCCTTTTTGTTTTGCACTTGTTGTTGCTTTTCTTGCCCTTTACGCTTTGCACTGGTTTACTTAATCAAATTTTTGGCAATCACTATTGTTACAAACTTTATTCACTGATTTAAGCTTTTTTACAATATCTTGTATTCTAATTTTTATATCATCTTAAAGATTACAATTTTCTCTTTAATTTGTTACAAATTTTATTAAATTTGATGCACTTTTACTAATTTAATTATTTAAATTATTATCGCAATTTACATTTCACGTGTTAACCGTTTACAAAAATCAAAGAAACTGAAGAAAGAATAAAAGATAAAAGAAATAATTGATTGATGCTTGCTGTATGACAGAAGTTAATGTTTGTTGTTGTTGTTTGTTTTGTTTTTATTTTCATTCTCACTCTGACGTCATAGTTGTTTTGCTCTTAGCAGAACTTAATGCAAGTTATTTTTTGGTGTTTGTTATTGTATTTCAAGTATGTTTTCGTGTGTGAGGTGTTTGTTTTCGTTTATTTACATTTTTGTTTGTGTTTTTAGTAATATCAATATGACGTTGCAATTGTTTTGATGCTCTGTTTACAAAGGTATTGAAATAGTTAAACTTTCTGGAAATTTTTTTTAAATAAAATAAAGTAGCGGTTGTTGTAATTACACAGTTTTTTAACTATTTAAAGTTACAATATTAATAATAAATAGTCTGGATTATAGACAACCCATAGTCTAGACAATCTATATTCTGGACTTTAGACAATCTATAGTTTGGACTATAGGAAATCTATAGTCTGGACTAAAGACAATCTACAGTCTGGGCAATAGACAATCTATAGCCTGGACTATAGACAATCTATAGTCTGGACTATAGACAATCTATAGTCTGGATTATAGACAATCTATAGTCTGGACTATAGGCAATCTATAGTCTGGACTATAGACAATTTATAGTTTGGACTATGGACAATCTATAGTCTGGACTATAGACAATCTATAGTCTGGACTATAAACAATCTATAGTCTGGACTATAGACAATCTATAGTCTGGACTATAGACAATCTACAGTCTGGACTATAGACAATCTATAGTCTGGACTATAGAGAATTTATATCCTGGACTATAGACAATCTATAGTCTGGACTACAGACAATCTATAGTCTGGACTATAAACAATCTATAGTCTGGACTATAGACAATCTATAGTCTGGACTATAGACAATCTATAGTCTTTACTATAGACAATCTATAGCCTGGACTATAGACAATCTATAGCCTGGACTATAGACAATCTATAGCCTGGACTATAGACAATCTATAGCCTGGACTATAGACAATCTATAGCCTGGACTATAGACAATCTATAGTCTGGACTATAGACAATCTATAGCCTGGACTATAGGGAGTTATAGCCTGGACCATAGACAATATAGTCTGGACTGTAGACTAGACAATCTATAGTCTGGACTATAGACAATCTATAGTCTGGACTATAGACAATCTATAGTCTGGACTATAGACAATCTAGTCTAGACTATAGACAATCCATAGTCTGGACTATAGACAATCTATAGTCTGGACTATAGACAATCTATAGCCTGGACTATAGGGAGTTTATAGCCTGGACTATAGACAATATATAGTCTGGACTGTAGACAATCTATAGTCTGGACTATAGACAATCTATAGTCTGGACTATAGACAATCTATAGCCTGGACTATAGACAATCTATAGTCTGGACTATAGACAATCTATAGTCTGGACTATAGACAATCTATAGTCTGGACTATAGACAATCTATAGCCTGGACTATAGACAATCTATAGCCTGGACTATATACAATCTATAGTCTGGACTATAGACAATCTATAGTCTGGACTATAGACAATCTATAGTCTGGACTATAGACAATCTATAGTCTGGACTATAGACAATCTATAGTCTGGACTATAAACAATCTAGTTTGGACTATAGGAAATTTTTAATCTGGACTATAGAAAATCTCTAGTCTGGACTATAGACAACTCTTAGTCAGGGCTAAAGACAATCTATAGTCTAGACTTTAGACAAGCCGTAGTCTGGACTATAGACAATCTATAGTTTGGACTATAATAATCTATCGTCTCGATTATAGATAATGTATAGTTCGGACTATAGTCGATCAGTAGTTTGTATTATAGTGGATCTGTAATTTGTATTATTGAAAACCTTCTAACCACTGTGCCTTAGATCAGTAACCCAAAACTATTGTTCTGTTATAAAACATTACCTCCACCACCGCCGCCAACTACAACGGACCCATGCAAACATACGAGCTCATAAGTTACATACTCCAGCCTCTACAGCAGCAGATTCTTCGGACTAAAATTAACAAGAAAAAGGCGAAAAAGGAAATGGTGCAAAGGAAAAACGGGCATATAAGTAAACCAACAAACATTATTGGCATTAGTGTCCATTGTATTTGTTGTAATATTTTGTTGCCAACATGCATATGAAATAAATGTATGCAATGTTAGCTAAACCAAACGATAGACATACATATGCCTGCCAATTTAAGCATTGTTGCAATTTAAACATAATTTTCCTAGACGACTACTCGCATAAATGTTCAAACATTTTCCAATGTACAACATGTTGCTCAAATGTTTGCAGTTCGTTAGTTGGCGAAAAAAAAAAACTGTAAAAAAAAAATCTTTAAAAAATTATAGAAAAAAAAACAAGTAACAAAATTTTGTTTAGCTACTGCTTAACGCATTTGGTGTAACATTAACCAACAAATTTTTTTTGTTAGTTTGCAGCAAGCAACACTACACTGAACATCATCGAACAAAACATATTATTAGGCTTAGTGTGTTGCAAGGATAATGTTAAATTTGTTTTACTTAGTTTGTTTTTTTTTTTTTTCATTTAAAATAAATAATTTGAAAAAGTTGAAAAAAATTACCATGATTTCACTTTGATACGAGTAATGCAACAAGAAAGAAAAAAAAAATAAAACAAACATTGCTTTTATTGCACGCACTTTTTGCGTAAAACATCAGCCTATGTAGTAAGTAGTACTAGTTGTTGGAGTTGCTGAAGATGCTTAAGTAAAGTGCAACATATTGTAGTAAAACATTACTAGACAATAACAGACAACAAATAATAAAATGTATAATTGGCGGCTATAAACATGCTTATGGTGATGTTGTTAATGTATATATATTTTTTTGTGGAAAAAAATTTCTTCTGAAAAAAAAATGGCAAAAATTTGTTTTTAATGTTGCAACTAACATGATAATGGTATTGGTGGATAACAAACACATACATATATATGCTGGTTATTTACAGAGGATCATAAAAAGTGCTGCACGCTGATCACTAAGGTTCTTTTTGCTTGCAAAATTTTTACTAAAATCAGGACTATTCACTGATTATAATCAGGCCTATAGATGGATTATAGTCTAGACTACAGTCTGTACCTTAAATTAACTAAACTTTGGGCTATAGACTATAGTCTGTCCAGACTATGGATCGTCTATAGTACAGATTATAGATGGACTATAGTCCAGACTGTATATAGTCTATAGGCCTGATTGTATATAGTCTATAATCCAGACAACACATAGTCTATTGTCCAGACTAATAATGGTCTATAATCGATACTATAGATGGTCCATAATCGGGACTATAGAGGTTCTCTAGTTTAGACAATAGACTGTATACAGATAGACTAGAGTCCAGACTATAAATTATCTATAATCAGATTATAGCTTATCTATAATCCAGACTAAATGTGGTACTTAGTCCAGACCTTAGATTATCTATAGTCCAGACAATAGATTTTCTATAATCCAGACCGTAGATTGTCTATAGTCCAGAAAATATATAATCTACAATCCAGACAATAGATCGTCTATAGTCCAGATCATAGATAGGCTATAATCCAGACTATATACGGTCTATAATTCAGGCTGTAGGTAGTCTATAGTACACACTATAGATAGCCTATAGTCCAGACAATAGACTGTCTATGGTCCAGACTATATATTCTCTATAGTGCAGACTATGGATTGTCTATAGTCCAAACTATATTTTGTCTATAGTCCAGTATACAAAACATCTATAGTTCAGACTATAGATTGTCTTTAGTCCGTTATACAAATCATCTATAGTCCAGACTATAGATAGACTATAGTCTGAACTATAGACTATAGCCTTAACTACAGACTACAGTCTGGACTATAGACTATAGTCTGTACTATATATTTTCGAGTGGACTATAGACTATAGTCTGCACTATACTCTATAGCCTGGATTATATACTATATTCTGGACTATTAACTGTAGCCCAGATTGTAGGCTATAGACTATAGCCTGTAATATGGACCGTAGTCTGGACTATAGACTATATTCTGAACTATAGACTATAGTCTGGACTATAGACTATAGTCTGGACTATAGACTATAGTCTGGACTATAGACTATAGTCTGGACAATAGGCTATAGTCTAGACTATAGACTATATTCTGAACTATAGACTATTGTCTTGACTATAGACTATAGTCTGGACTATAGACTATAGTCTGGACTGTAGACTATAGTCTGGACTATAGACTATAGTCTGGGCTATAGACTATAGTCTGAACTATAGACTAAAGTCTGTACTATAGACTATAGTCTGGACTGTATGCTATAGTCTGGACTATAGACTATAGTCTGGACTATAGACTATAGTCCGGACTATAGACTATAGTCTGGACTATAGACTATAGTCAGGACTAAGGACTATAGTCTGGACTTTAGACTATAGTCTGGAATATAGACTGTAGTCTATAGTCTGGACTATAGACAATAGTCTGTACTATAGACTATATTCTGCGCTATGGACTATAGCCTGCGCTATACGCTATAGTCTGAACTTTAGACAATATTCTGCATAGTCTGCATGATATACTATAGAGTGGGTTATATGCTATAGTCTGGACTATTGACTATTGTCTGGACTATAGACCATAGTCTGGACTATAGACTATAGTGTGGACTATAGTCCATAGTCTGGACTATAGACTATAGTCAGGACTATAGTCCATAGTCTGGACTATAGACTATAGTCAGGACTATAGTCCATAGTCTGGACTATATACTATAGTCAGGACTATGGACTATAGTCAGCACTATAGATTATAGTTGATATATAGTCTACACTGCATTATATAGTCTTTGCTCTCGATTTTGCTCTAGACCCTTGTTTCTTACATATCTTTTTTCACCACCCTTTATGAGTCTGTTTTTTTCTCTTTTTTTGAAGA